CGGCTGCTGCAACAGGAAATGATAACGCGAACTGCCGCTTCATCCGTGGAAGGGGGATCCAGCACGGAAAAGAATTCTAAGGCGTGGGGCGTCTGGCCAGGCATTTACTCACGGCACGCATAGAACCGATCGCGGCTACAAAACTTGGCGAGACACGGGGACGAGGTGGAAGTGGAAGGACATAATGAAAGAGGCTGCTAAGGCACGGAGACACGAGACGAGGGAGGAGATCACGCCTGAGGCAAAGCGGCGCCCCAAAGCACAGAAAACACTGGGGTCATCATACTGGGGCAGAGGCGGGGAAGGGCAGCGGGCAGTGCGAAGCGGAAAAGGACAGCGGCCAGCCTGAGGAAGTGGGAAGTCGGCGGGGAGCGGCCCTGGGGACGGGGCCTCGGAGATGGGCAGCACGGGCAGCCGATGCTTCGCCAAAAGGGGACACGTACAGAACTACACTTAGCGGCCGGGGCACGGTACACGTCTGGAGCGCGAGTCGCGCCCCCGACATGCACCCCGCCCCGCTGGCTAGGTGCAGTTATATGAGTGCTCTGTTTTGTGAGGATGTCCCTGGCGAAACCAGCACGTACAGAACTACACCTAGCGCCTGGCTAAGTGTAGTTCTGAACGTGCTGGATGTCTCGAGCGGGGCGAGCACGTATAGACTGGCACCTACAACCCCCTGGATTAAAAAGTGGAGACCGCAGGGGCCGAGGTAGACGTGGTTTGCCTCCCGTTAGGCAGCGGGGCCCCGGGACAATGTTGGATTTGTTGCCAATTCCGGAGTTTCCGGTGCCTCCATCATCCCTGTTAATATTATAAAGGCCAAATGGGGCTCCGACCGGAAAGTGGGATTCTGCCTAGGACTTCCTCAAAAAAAATTTCCGGTCGCCTTCCAGGGCGACCGGAAATTCTGCCATGCCACCGGAAAGTGGCGGTTCCGCGTGGGACTTCCTCAAAAAAATATTCCGGTCCCTTTTGAGGCCGCCAGACAGTGGCGATTTCGCGTGGGACTTCCTCACACATTACTTTTTGTCGCATCTCATGCCACCAGAAAACGACGATTTCGCTTGAGACTTCCTGACATTCCAGTTTCTGGTCTCATGTACGCTCACACAGGCGCCTCGGACCTATTCCTCTTCGCACTCTCTCCTCTTATCATCACAGTATTGGATTGTTCCGTGTCGCATGCTCTCCGTGCAAGTCAGATTCCAGTTGCCACAGCCTCGCGCGCGCGGTCCTATCTGCGCCTGGGCGGATGTCCGCAGGGATGGCCGTTGCATCGTTCGGTTCACAGGTTTGTCTTGGAGTCATCTTGAGGCCATCTTGAGGTCGCGTCGGGTCGCAGGCCTCCCTGTGGGAGGTTCGATCCCAGGGTCATTTTGGGGCGACGCGGTTGACCCAGGATGTACGGTCCAGAATCGACGATCCAGGATCGATGATCGAGGATACACGATCGATGACCCAGGACCGACTGTGGAAGAGCGAACCCATATCGATCGGAAACGAGGCTTTGGGTTCCACGGCCGATCAAAGTTCGACAACCACCTAGCGATTGAGGGTCGGAGATCGAGGGTCGAGGATCCAGGGCCGTTCGGACATCGAGGAGCCAGGATCGAGCGGCCACGATCCGTCGAAGTTCGACGCTGGATGGCCGATCGAAGAGCGACGATCGAGAACCGATGTTCCAGGCTTGATCGAAACTCCAGGCTCCAGAATGCCTGGCCGATCGAACATCCATGATCGAGGTTCGATCGAGGCTCGAGGATCGAGGATCGAGGGCCCCAGATACTTCGAGGGTCGAGGATAGAGGTCCGGTCGAACAGCGACCATCGACTTCCCAGGATCCAGTCCCGATCGAAAGTCGCGGCTCGAAAGCCGAACGACGGACGAATACCAGGATGCGGCTCTTTCGGTGTAGCTCCGATCTCAACTTTTTAATCCAGGGGGTGGTAGCGAAAGTGGCAGGGTACAGGTCGGGGGCGTCGCCGCGCCTCCCCGCAGAGTCAGGAAGGCAGGGGCCACTGAAATCCCAGCCGCCCTCAGGGCGGCGGAGGCCAGACGTCCCAGGGATGCCCGCAAGGGACCCAACTGCGGCCGCCGCGGCCAAGGGCGCGCAACGAGGTCCCTGGGGGCCCCAAGAGCGCTCCACGACCTCCAGCCGCAATCTGAGGTCGTAGCGTCTTGGGGGTCTCCTGGAGCGCTTGGCGGGGTCTTGGATACTTCCTGGGGCGCTCGGGAGGTCCCAGGAGCGCACCTGCTCGCCACGACATCTGGTCTCGATCTGGAGGTCGTGGCGTCTGGGGCCCCCGTGGGGCGTTTTGAGGGCACCGGGGGTTCCTCCTGTAGCCCATCATGGGTCCCACGAGCGCTGGTGGTCGCTACGACCTCTGACATTGTTCTGGATCCCTCCATCCTCTTTGCCCCCCCCCCCCGTGATCAGGGCAACTCGCCTGGTGACGATGTTTCGAGGATTTTAAAAGATATGCGCGCTCCGCCACGCAGAACTCTGGCTAGCGACGTCGAGGCCCTCGCAAATCCGACAAACGCGATGACCCCCCTCGATTGGCGGGCAAAACAAACTTTGGAACGATAGCCCAACATTAATTTAGAAATTTCGGGATCCGCGAGAGAAACTAATCCACTCGCCCAAAGTGTAGCTCTATATCTGTCCGACTCTCGCTCGCTCGCCCTCTCTCTCTCTCTCTCTCTCTCTCTCTCTCTCTCTCTCTCTCTCTCTCTCTCTCTCTCTTTTCTCTCTCTCTCTCTCTCTCTCTCTCTCTCTCTCTCTCTCTCTCTCTCTCTCTCTCTCTCTCTCTCTCTCTCTCTCTCTCTCTCTCTCCCCCACCCCTCTCTCTCACGCTGTCTTTCTCCCTCTCTCGCTTCCGCTATCTCTCTCTATCTCTCTCTCGCTCGCTCTCATGTTTTGTTTCTGTCTATATATATATATATATATACATATATATATATACACATATATATGGTAAGAGCCCCCCCTGTGATCTACCTGGGCTGTTTTTTTGCTTGGGCGAAATGCAAACGCGATGCGCTTGGTTACAACGTGATTTCCTGCGTAGTATCCTGCGTGCACATTTACAAATTGGGAATCATGTTGTACAGACATACACATTGATTCTCATTGTTCGGCCATCAAATCGAATCCATGCGCGCTTGGCTCGAAGGGGGGGAGGGGGGGGGGGCCTGGCCGACGAAAAATACAAAAAAAAAAAAAAAAAAAACAAAAAAAGTCAAAAAAAGACCATCTGGGGGACAAAAAACGCTGTGTTTTTAATTGTAAATTGGTTTTCAATTGTAAACCAAAAAAACACAAAAAAGACAATCTGGAAGCAAGGAAAACCTGCGTGTTCATAGTGTTTGGGCATTTACAAATTGATTCCTAGTGTGCGGCCTTCAAATGGAATCCCTTTGCGCCTGGCCCGAAGGCCTCACAATGGGATTCTATGTGATGGCCGCACAATGGAAATCAATTTGGAAATGACCAAACACTGTGAAAACACAGATTTTCCGTGCTTCCAGATTGTCTTTTTTGTGTTTTTGGGTCTACAATTAAAAACCAATTTACAATTAAAAACACCGCGTTTTTCGTCCCCCAGATTGTATGTGTTTGTCTTTGTTTGTCGGTTTTTGTTTTTTTTTTTTTTTCGTCGGCCAGGCACCGAATCAATTTGCGCCTGGCTCGGGGGGGGAGGGAGGGGACTGGCCGACGAAAAAAACAAAAAAAAATCTGGTGGACAAAAAACGCTGTGTTTTTAATTGTAAATTGGTTGTTAATTGTAAACCAAAAAACACACAAAAAAAGACAATCTGGACGCAAGGAAAACCTGTGTTTTCACAATGTTTGGGCATTTACAAATTGATTCCTATTGTGCGGCCTTCAAATGGAATCCCTTTGCGCCTGGCCCGAGGGCCTCACAATGGGATTCTATGTGATGGCCGCACAATGGAAATCAATTTGGAAATGACCAAACACTGTGAAAACATAAATTGTCCTTGCTTCCAGATTGTCTTTTTTGTGTGTTTTTTTGTATACAATTAAAAACCAACTTACAATTAAAAACACAGCGTTTTTCGTCCCCCAGATTGTAGTTGTTTTGTCTTTTTTGTCGTTTTTTGTCTTTTTCGTCGGCCAGGCCCCGAATCAATTTGCGCCTGGCTCGGGAGGGGAGGGAGGGGACTGGCCGACGAAAAAACAAAGAAGACAAAAAATACAAAAAAGACCATCTGGTGGACAAAAAACGCTGCGTTTTTAATTGTAAATTGGTTTATAATTATAAACCAACAAACACAAAAAAAGACAATCTGGAAGCAAGGAGAACCTGTGTTATCACAACGTTTGGGCATTTACAAATTGATTCCTATTGTGCGGCCTTCAAATGGAATCCCTTTGCGCCTGGCCCGAGGGCCTCACAATGGAATTCTATTTGATGGCCGCGCAACGGAAATCAATTTGGAAATGCCCAAACACTGTGAAAACACAAGTTTTCCTTGCTTCCAGATTGTCTTTCTTGTGTTTTTTGGTTTACAAGTAAAAAACCAATTTACAATTAAGAATACAGCGTTTTTTTCTTCAGATTGTATTTTTTTGTCTTGTTTGTCTTTTTTGTTTTTTTTTCGTCGGCCAGGCCCCTCCCTCCCCTCCCGAGCCAGGCGCAAATTGATTCCATGTGACAGCCGTGCAATAGCAATCAATTTGCAAAGCCCACACAGAAGGATTCTGCTTGTATGCCGCATGCCGCATAATACTCATCCATTGGCCAACTCCCATGGAGAATGCGCAAGTGTGGGACCCGATGGATCCCTCGGTGACTCACTGTTTTCTGGGCAAGGCAGCGTCGCCGCAAGCGCGCGACGAGCAAGAATCACTGTGGATGCTGCGCAAGGGAATGTTCGGGTGCTCTTGAGGGCCCTCCTTAGAAGGGGCCACAACAATGTCGAAAGTTTAGAGGGTTCAACGCAGAAGGCTCCTAGCATGATCATGGCGGCTCTCAAGGATTGTAGAATGCTCTTGCTGCAGTCAGTGAGAGCGCCGCGTGAAGATGCGACGTAACAGTCAGTGAGAACACTACGTAGAGATGCGATGCAACGCCCAGAAACTCACAGCAAAGCCCTGAACATGTCGCCTGTCTTCGCCCAGAGATCAGAGCCCATGTGCCAGTAATGCCACTGCGCAGCGCGCACTCTGGCGTCGTACTTTCTGATGCCTGAAAGGGTGGAAGAGCGCGTCCCCACGTGCTTCCGCAAACACAACAGCACCGATCGATGATCTGCGTTCCCCCCTTGGCGTGGACGGTCTTTCCCTCGATGCAGTGGGAAAAGAGCTGGACGCACGTCGCCTTGAGTTTTTTGCTGGCCCCATGTTTCTTCAGCTTGTGCACGACGTAGTCGTGCACCACGCCGTCGAGCTTGCTCTTCCGGTTCATGCCGATTTTGTAAGCCCGCGCGCCATCTGTATGAAACAGAATTTTGCGCCCTTTGAGGTGTTTCTTAGCCATTGGCGCCCAGTCCTTCTTCGTGATGGGGCCGGGGCCCGGCGCGCGCGGCTTCGTCAGCTTCGCCGACGTCTTGAAGATGACCAGGGACTCAGGTCGGCCGCGCTCCACAATGCCGGCCCATTGATTCCGCTTCATCTTGTCGCCGACCTGCTCCTTGCCAAGGTCGACCTCGTCTGCCTCTACGTCCAGCCACTGCTTCTGGAGTGGATCGCCGAATCTAATCTTCTTTTCCTCGCGCAAGACAAACTTTTGCCGGGCCTGATCAAGCCTGGTGGACATGTTCGAGATGAAGTTCTTGCTGCTTTCCCTGAGCAAATGATTCTGCGCCGTCGTAAGCCCCGCCACGAGCCCGAAAAGTATGATCATCTGGTCCTTCAAACTCTGATAATCTCTGCCCCGCGCGGTCGACAGCACCGGGTGGCAAGCCTGTGGCAGAATGTATGTTTGGCAAGACTTTCTGCAGCAGCGGTGCGCCCATGTACCACATGCCCTGCGCTGGAGCTTCGACACCTCGGGCAGCTCGAAACCTGGCCGACGCCCTGGCGCAAACTCTTTCAAAACACGTTTAAAATAAAACTCGCATAACGCAAACATGTTTTCTATTGCGCCAACATGACTTAGGGCAGGTTTCAAGCCGCCAGCGCCTGCCCCTCGCCGCAATGAGGGCACGCATGTTGCGACCAGTCTTTCAGGAAGCCAGCGGCAGTCATCTCCAGGACGATCTGTCTCTCACTGAGACTCTGGAGTTGCTTCGCGCTGCACGACCACTTCGCCTTAGAGATCTCGCCGCGGCGTGACTTCCCATGTCTCACGTAAGGCGTTTTTCTCCACAGGGCCAACCACTTCTTCTTATTCAGCTTCTTCGGCCGCGCATACATCCGGCGCTTCCCTTTCTTGGGCGCCCCCGCGCCGCCTCCCGCGAGGTCGCGCGCGTCGTTGTCCATGGCAGGCTGATTCCCCGCTGGCAAGAGTTCAAGAACGAAGAACACAAGGCGACCTACTCGGAGCCAAGCCATCCGGAATTCGCGCGGCAGTACGTCGGTCTGCTGGCCTATTGCACTATCCATGACGGAGAGCGCGCCGTTCCGGCGAACAGTCACAGCGAAATAATGGCCGCTGTCTTCTGAATGCGGTTGCCAGCAAAGGAATTTTCGATCCTCCAGAGCGGCACAGGATCCGCCGCCGTGCCTGCACGGCAGCGGCGCAGTAGAACACCCGTGATGTGCATTGTAGGTTTGTCGTAATATTTATGAAGGCTCCCCCACCTCCTGGGACGCACCTCACCGCATGCATCGCCCCCTCTTTCCGAAGGCCCCTGGGTGCCCCACAGCCCCCCCCCCCCTGTGCCCCAGGCGCCCCGAGGCCCCCTCCCCCGAACACCCGGGCCCCGTGACGCGGCGGCCGAATTGCCGAAGGCAGCTGGATAGTAAAACCTGCGTGTCCGCAATTTCCACATACCGAAGAAAATAAACGCGCGATGCGCACTGGCGACTGCATGTCTGCTGCGCGTTGAACTCGCGAACAGCATGCGGGCCTCCTGATGGGGCAGCGGACGGCGAGTCCCACCCCATGTAACGGAGTGAATCGTACATGCACAGCTGCAAGCCAGGGTAACGCTCTAGACTTCCCCCCATCGTGCCAAGTCGCATTACGAAACACACGTAGCCAAATGCCGGCGTCGTCTGCGGCTTCGCCAGTTTGAATGCATGCCCGAGCGTCTCGCACATGTCATCAATCGTCTCCTCCACGACGTCGGGCGGCGCAGGGCACTGAAAGTACAGTTCGTCGAACAATGTAACAGAGGGCCTCCCGCCAACATTGCCGATGCTCTCAATGACCCGGGACAGCAACTGGTCTTCGGACTTTGACACTGCATAGAAAAAACGCGTTGCTCGTGGATGCCTCCGGTCACCGAACATGTCCTGCAGATGTTTGTTGTCCGGCATCTGCAGTAGCAAGTGCGCCGCCTGCGCAACGTCCGACGCGAGCGACCATAGGAATGGCACGTCGCTTGTCGGCATTCCCAGACCGAAGATTCTCGATATTGATTTCTTTGCCTCGGCGGCGTCCACGTTAAGGTAGTCCATCATGAAACCGCGCCATTCCATATAGTGGCTGGTGAATCTCTTGAGCGACGTAAAGGGGACCTTTGAAAGGGGGCGCGCGCGACGGGCGCGAGAGCCTCGACGCAACTCCAAGCGGTGGATTTTCGGGCCCTGGAAAGAAGGCATGGAAACACAAACGTCGATAATCAAACAGATCTCCCTGGAGCGCAAGGAAAGCCGAACCTCCAAATTCGACGAGGCGAATTCGGCGGCATCGGTTGCTTCGCGCTGACTCAAGCATCGATACTCCTCACCCGCCGCGCGCGCCTCCCCCCTCCGCGGCCTTTGCGCCACCCACGGTTTGCCCAAGAAGTTTTTCACAGCCCTGACGCGTGCCCTGCCCATGTTGGCGATGCGCTTCCTCTCGAGCGCCGCCTTCGTCGAGGCTGGCAGGGTAGCAAAAATGAACAACTGGAACCAAAGGGCTACGGAAACGAGAGGATGCGAGAGCGAGCGCTAGCACAAGACGGCACCAGAGGATTCGGACTTCCGTCAGCTCAATACGGCCCTGGAAGCCTCCAAAATGGCCCCAAGATGGCCCAAGAGGGCCCAAGACGGCACCAGAGGCGCCCAAGACTGTGCAAGACTGTCCAGGACGCCCCAAGAGGCCCCCAAGAGGCCTCCAAGGCGACCCAAGAAGCCTCGAAGAGGAAGGCCCACTGTGTCCCCAAGGCCCATAAGGCCTCCAAGATGGCCCCAAGACGGCCCGATATGCCCCAATAGAGCCCCAAGAGCCCTCCAAGACGGCCCCAACAAAACTGCCCAACAGATTTCCAAAACGCCCCAAGTCTGCCCAGAGACACCCCCATGACGGCTTTCGACGGCGTCAGACAGGCCAAGAAAACCCTTAGACGACCAAAGAAGCCGCCAAGGCGCCTCCAAAGGCCACTAAGAGGCCCAAGGGGGCCCCCAAGAGGCCTCCAAGAGCCAAGAGGCCCCCAGGAAGCTGCAAGAGGCGGAGCTTGCCGCAGGCAGCAAATAATAAACAGGCGGCCCGAACGAGAAATAGCATAGCTGAAATGAGAAAGGAAAGCATCTGGGACAGCAATCACGGGAAAGAGCGAGAGATAGAGAGAGGAAGATAAAGGGAGAGATATAGGGAGAGAGAGAAAGAGAGATACATACACAACAGGAAGAAAGGTAGATCACAGGAGGGGCTCTTAGCATATATATATATATATATATATATGGATCCCTCCCTCTCTCTCTCTCTAAACGTATACGTCTCACTCTCTTGTTCCTTCCCTCCAGGCAGAAAGGCGCGTGACTATGGACCAGTACCATTGTCTCTTGGTATCTCTCTCACTCTCTCTCTCTCTCTCTCTGGCTCGCTGTCTATCTCTCCCCCCCCAGCTCCAGAATGGATTGGCGCTGGTTGTCACCGCTCACTCCCCCTCTCCCGACATAGGTGAGGGAGGGGCAGGAGAATAATACTCATCTGGACATGATGTCTACTCGGTTCCGATTGAAATCACATTGCAAGCCTGTCCGAAACCAACCAGAAAAACTGCTCGGTGGCATGCTCCATTGCAAATGGCATCTTGTTGGAATACGACCCCAATATGATAGGAACCTGCAGAATCTGGGATGTGCTCCGTTACTACTGGAATCAGACCAAACCCATATCGAAACAACTTAGGGATCATCTGAACATGAGGTCTTCTCCGCTACTGTTGAAATGTTATGAGCATTCTACTCCAATCAAATGGGAATCCTCTGGACCTCATGTCCGCTCCGTTCCTATTGAGATCTCATCCTGGTCCATGTGGCAACACAAGAGGTGTGGATTTGATCTAGGAAATGCTCGGTTACTGCTTGGAGTAGAGCAGGTTATAACCCAATTCAAATTAGTCATGACCTGGTGGGCTCCCAGCCATACTAACGGGGCAGACCACATATCCAGGGGATTCCCTATTGGATTCGACAGGGTTTTTGATGTGACCTCAAGGAAAAACGGAGCACGTCCCAAATCCAGAGGGGTCATATTAGATGTGAGTCGGGGGTTGGCAAGATGTGACTTAGAATGGAGCAGGCCACAGACCCAACTTATACCTATCGCATTCGGATAGAGTCCCAATGGGACTGCAGTCGGAAGCGAGTGGACATCCTATCCAAATGATTATGGTCCTCTTCCTCCGATCGGAGAGAGAGAGAGAGAGAACGAGAGAGAGAGAGAGCGTCATATAGGGAGAGCGCGCGAGAGAGAGAGAGAGACAGAGAGAGCGCGAGATAGATTGAGAGACGGAGAGATATACTGCAATAGACACCCATGCAGTCTCAAGAGAGGGGTGCAGATAGAGAGAAAGGAACTTCTTTGTGTTCCTGCGAGATTCCTTGAGGTTTCTTGAAATCCCGTGGGGTTCCGCGGGCTTCCATTCTAACTGGAACACGATGGGAATCTCATGCTGGATCCACTAGTAACCGAGAAGACCTGAAACACAGGGATGTTCTACTAGACTTGATAACAAGAGCGAGGAGGAGGGAGTGCAACGAAGGATTATGAGGAAGACAACGAAGGGAAAGGAGGACGGAAACAGTGCACGAAAAGGTAGATCCCGGGAGGGTGCGCGAGCATACATATTCATATTCCCCAACCAGAGCTTGCCTCTGTAGGGGTCCTAGCGGATTCATATGGTTAGATTAGGTTTGCCGCCGATTTTTACTGCACATGCCCGGGTGCCCGGGGGTGCCCGGGTGCCCGGGTGCCCAGGTGCCCGGGCGTGCCCGGGAGTGCCCGGGGGTGCCCTATAGCCCTATATCCCTAATAGCCCTATAGCCCTGTAGCCCTATAGCCCTATCCTTTCGGATGGTTGCGGGCCGATTCTGGAGCCTCCCAAACGGCTTCGGACGCCCAGAAGACCGCCGTCTTGGAGCGTCGGAAAGCCGAAAAGAGGACAACCCCAAAATTATTCACCAAAAACTATCAGAACATCAATAATGTATGCCTCTTGGGGCCTTCTTGGGAGTGCTCTTGAAGGCCTCTTTGGGGCCGTCCTGGAGTCCTCTTGGGCCATCTTGAGGTCACGTCGGTCACTTTTGGAACGCTCTTGTGCTGTCCTGGGGGTCTCTGGGACGTCTCCGATGACCCCCCTGATCGCCCTAGGTGTGCTGGGAAGGCTTGGCAAAACGCCCTGCGAGGCCCGGGGGGGGCGCTTCGAGGCCCGTCCGGAGGGTCCCAAAACCCCAAATCCCGGGAGTCTGTTTTTTTGTTTTAGGGGGGGGTCCGCCCGCCCGAGCTTACAAGTGGCACGTGTGCCATGGTTCTTGCACAAAAAGGAAGGGGGAGGAGGAGGAGGAGGTGGAGGAGGAGGGGGGAAGAGGGGGCAAGACATCGCTCCTCAGGGTCCAGCAACGGGGCCCAAATCCAAGGTGGGGACGGGGGGGGAGGTGGTGTGCGTCGCGACGCGGAATAAAGTGTTCGGAACGGGAGGGGGCACGGGGCGGAGGTCCCACTGGGGCGCTGGGGGCGCGGAGAGGAGGAGGGTGGAGGTGGTGTGCGTCGCGACGCGGAATCAAGTGGTCGGGGCGAAGAGGCACGGGGCGTGGGTCCCACTGGGGCGCTGGGGCGCAGGGGACGCGGGGGGGAAGGGGGGAGGTGGTGTGCGTGGCGACGCAGATTAAAGCGTTCGTGGCGGAGGGGGTATTGGGTGGGGCCCCCACTGGGGCGCTGGGGACGCGGGGGGGCTCGGAGCGGAGGGCCACGGGGCGGGGGTTCCGCTGGGGCGCCGGGGGCGCGGGGCGGAGGGGAGGTG